GGGGGGGGGGGGGGGGGGGGGGGGGAGAAACTGTGATGAGAGAGAGAGAGAGAGAGAGATAGAGACCGATAAGAGTACCTGAGATCAAGAGAGGAAGAAGATCTAAGGGAGTGAGACAACAAGCCAAGAAATGCAAGCGGCAGCGACACTGCGCGGTAGTAAAAGATGGAGTGCAGAGAAGGCGTTAAATTTGAAAAGAAAGGGAGGGACCCAGACGACTAGGGTCTGTGACATATTTTCATGTTCTTTGCGATTGCCATGGCTATAAATCAACTGCAATCTTTTTTTTCTTTGGATTTTATCACTTCTGTGTTCATAAACTTCAAATGCCTTGTAACTATTGTATTGTATAGAACATATAGAGAAGTTGAAAACTTGTAATGAGTTGGGATAAGAATTGGACAAGTTTGTAAAGCAAGTTGATAGGGTAAAAGAAAAAATGCGTTTTTTTGAAACTTTGATGAACTAGCGTCAAAATTATGAAGATAAAAATGCATATGCGTTTGTTTCTAGCATCAAACTTGGTGTTGATTGTAGCCGTGAGATACTAAAACTAACGCCTTAGTGATGATACCTGCGCAATTTTCTCTTTATTTGACTGTGTATGTGGACGTTGAGACTCCTTCTCAAGTCAAATTTCATTATATTCCTCTTTATACTCGAATCTTCAAAATATTTTCATATTTATCAATAAAATCTCAATTACTTCAATTTACTAAAATGCCTCAAATTCTACCTCTTTTAACACAAATACACGCCAAAATTACCCTATTTAACTATTATCTTTTTAGTTGGTAAATAAATCGTGAACACAAAGTTCCACTAGTTTGTTCAATAAACATTATCATATGGAAGGACATTCAATTAGAAAAGCTGTAACCATTATTATATGAGATAGAATTTATAGTCGTTCAATAATGAAAATACAAAGTGCTCAGTCCAATAACTATGTAAATAATTTTTTTAAAGCCCTCGTAAAAGAGTTTTGATACTCTCGAAGAATTTCTCTCATGAAAAGGTTGTCAAAATCTAATAAATAATTAGCTAGCTTCAATAGGGAAGATATGGAGTAAAAAACGTAAGCTTTCTAGAGTTAAATTCACGAATATAATTATATAAATTTGGTAAACAATCTAATCCTTCAATGAAATTGATTTTTTTAACCCTTTTAGGTCTACAAAATCTCCCTCCTTCACCCAACAGTTGGTCGAGAAAAAAAGTTGATTAAAGTCGGCTATTTAATTATTAATTAATTATTTTAATTCAACTATCGGTAACAAATCGGCAGGAAGTTGCTGCAATCGTCGAACACCGACTACTATAAAACTCCTTGCGGTGGCGGACAGCCAAAACTTGGGCAAATTTGTTTCAAGCATGGCTGCTAATTTCTGGACTTCATCGCACTAGTAAGCTCCTATAGAATGCCCTCGCGCTAAATCGATTCTTTTCTTTTATACATCTTGTACCAGTTTTCTTGTTCTTTATTTCTTTATGCCGATGTATCCTACAGCAAACAACTCATGGACCAAGAGGAGGTCGATGTGGTGCAATCGCTCGATAAAGATAGGGGCATTACTCTTGAGGACTTCAAGCTCATTAAGATGCACATGGCCAATTGTAATTACCCTTTTCGCATCTTCCTCTTCTTCTTCTTCATTTATTTTTTTTTAAATTTTGTTTATTAACGGATTTTTGATCTCGTATTGGTTACCACCGTCCCCCCCTGTTCTCTTAGTTTAAGTAGAACACACAATAAATTTCTCTTAATTTCAAAGTAGGATAGTTCTTTGGACTAACGTTATCGACAATATGCAAGCGATCCTAGGCAATGTCCTATCTTCCTTCAGCCTGTTACTTACCCAATGCGAAAAGGAGTGGGCAACAAGAGAGATTTTTAATGTTTCCTTCATCTCATCTGTAAACAAATGGCTTTGGAGTTCTGTCACAGAAAAGGAGGCTTTGTGGAGGAGCAACTTACCCAGAAGAAATCTAGAGGGAAAATAGATGAATGCAAAATGATTATATTTCAATTACACCCCCCAGACTTTATGCAATCCTCAATACTGAAGACCTTTTTATTAGTCAAGTTTGGAACCCCACAAATGGTACTTGGATTCAACCATGTGATGATAAATGTAAGTACACATCTAATGGCTTTGGGATTTGTCAAAATGCTTTGATGCTTGGCTCTAGCTTAAGTAAATGGATTTGGAAGAATGGATATTGAAAGAAAGTGAAAATATTAGTTGAGAGCTCCTTTTGGGTGGCATTAATAACATATGACACAATCCAAAGTGAATTCGACCTTCCTCTTTTTCCACATTATGCTCTTATGTGCATAGAGGACAAGAAACCACTTTTTTGGATTTACCTTACATGGTCTTTTCGATTTGAGCTTCAATTCACACTACTTTTGAAGCTTTCCTCAGCTTGTGAGTTTTAGATCGAAATTTACCAAAGTAGGAGCGCAATTATATAATTCATTGGATTCCACTGGGAAAAGATCCTTAGATCCAATATGGTTTCTCTGAATTATTCAAAGGGAAAATTGGTAGAGCAAGAGAATTGATGCGCCAACCTCTTTATTTTCCTCTTGATTTGTTTTCTTTTCTTTTTTAGATGTGCCACCTCTTTAACTTACTTCGAATCATAACAAATTATTTTGGATTAGATTTTTTGGAGACTTCTCTCCTTTGTTGTTTAGGGTACACCATTTTGGTATTGGAGCAACTAGTTGGCTTATGATGGCTGCTGGTAATAAAGACTAGAAAGCTCTTGTTACTGAATATTCAACAATGCACATCGAAGTACAAGAGGATATCGATTAGACTACCCTTTTCCCAAGAAGAGATGAGAGAACATGGTTGGTATTGTGATGAATAAGATTTGACTACAATATGTGCAAAACATAGACATGCAACCCAATAAATGCATATGATTCGACCTCCACGAGAGTGGTGAGGAAGCCTGATTGGGTCCTTAGATTAGGTTTTCCGTACAGAACACTGCCCTTTTCAAGCACTAAATTTGAGACCGCACTCAACAGGTGTCTTTTGGCTGGTAGTCTTCAACAACGAGCTTGGTCCACGATTGTGGAATATGTGTTGAAAGAAGATTTCTTGCCCTATCGCAGGAGGAGGAGGGGTACCTTTTCACAAGGGAGGGTTCCTTCTTTTCCTAAGTGGGGCATCGGGTATCACTAGGGTGGGCGAAGGTGCTCCGTACTCATTTTGCTTGGCAAGCAAGTAATTTTGCCTTGTACTGGATTGGGTCAGAAAGACTTAAGGTATTCTTTTGGATTGATTTGACAGGTAGTTAGAGGATGCATGGGAAAGGAAAATTTTTTCAATAATACAAAGGAAATCCGGCCTTGCTGTTTTGATCCCAATGATTCCGTTTATGGAGTTTGTATCATTTGAGCCTAAGTCTCTTTTTCATTCATTCAATGAAAAGTTTTATTTCTCATCAAAAAAAGAAAAGATTCCGAGGACTCGGGAAGAATTTGAGTAGATTTTCTAGCCTGATTTTGTATTTTGATTATGATGAATGCTTTCATGGATTTTTACAAGAGTTGATGGGTCAAAGAATGAATTATCTTTTTGTTTTTGGGATTGAAATTGAAGAATTTTTATATTAAATTGCCGATGGAAGGAAAAGGTTTTTGGATAAAAGATTTTACAAGAATTGTTGATCTCAACTCAAATCTTACTATTATTTTGAACTACAAGTCTTCAAATATGTTGCTGAATTCTTTCTAGTATTATGATCAGAGGGAATACCCATCATATATGAGGATTCTTCTCTTTGGGTTTCAGTTGCAGTTTTTTCTTCTGTTATTGGTCCTTTCCTCACCTCATACCCCTTCAGCTTTCTACTCGGAAGGTTAAAATCTTTAGGAAATTAATATATATATTTTTTTTGTTTGATAGGTTTTATGTGGGAGATTCAACACTATGGGTCGTGTCTAAAACATCCTTCTTTCATTATTTTTCTTGATGCATTCTATATAAGCATCAAGTATAGGATCTTCATCATTTATTGTGGTGGTGTTAGGTTGTTTAATCCCTCTAGGTTCGATAGCTGGATTTTTTTGGCTTGTGTTGGATGTGGAATGGTGATTGTTACCGTTATGATTGAGGAGGTGCTATTGGATTCACCTTTTCTTCAAAGAGCATAGTTCTGTGTCATGTTAGTTTCTTTGCTACCATGAAGGGAGTTTGGTTCTAGAGGAATAATAGAAATTTTAGAGATGTGGTGCGATCTCGTGCTGGGGATTTGAAGGTGGTGAGGCTTAATGTCTCCTTATAGGCGTCCATCATTAGTCCTTTTTGCAGTTATGATCTTGGTTTAATTTTGTTGGATTGGAGCCCATTTTTGTGGTTCTGCTGGGCTTGTTTTTTTGTATACCCTTGTATATTTTTTCACGTTTCTCCATTCAAGTTCAGTTTCTTATCACGAAAAAAATGAATTCAAATATGAGTATGGGATTGTTTATGGGGGCTGGTAACGAAAAACCGTTACTACAAAATTTTGGCACCCCCAAATTGCATGCAACAGTCTTATATTTCACTCACAGGGTCAAGATTTTACCAATCTAGTCTCATCCTAGCCTACGGTAATTTATGTCCAAAAATATGTAAATAGAACACCAAAATTTTAGAGGAAATTCTTTGAGAGCATGCGGTGTTGGACCAAAACATAGTTCTATTTAGATTTAGAGCCGCATAATTGGGTCTATCACTGTGATGCAAAGAATTTGAAAGGGTTACACAAAAGGAAAAAAGAAGAACCTCAAGAGAACTTTTCTCGTAGATATTTTCTTATTAGTTTGGTTTTTCTTTGTCTTCCTAAATTTTGTATGGTACATTTTTCTATCTTTAAGAATGAAAATAAAAGATTGTTTTAAAAAGTAAGAGAATAGGTTGTTCTCTGATTCTTGTTTTCCTTTTGTTTCAGATATACTGAAGTTGGCTCAACATGTGAAAGTTAGACAAAGGTAGTCATGGTTTGGTTATTTCTTTATTATATCATTATGTTTCACAATTTTGTAAGATATTGTCCACAATTGCATGGAAATTATTCCTTGAAAATGCATGAATTCATGTTGAGTTATTCGTTTTTTCTTTTATGGACTCAACAGTGGTTTCCTTTTCGTAGTTCTTGTATTACTGCTAAGTTGTGAGAACAAAGAAAACAAATTCTTTGTATTTCTGTACCATGGATGACCTGGAAGTCTTTTCTATAAGTTCCTTTCTCGGGTTTGAGGATTTTATCCTCTATATCTTTACTTATTCTATCAATGAAATGTGATAGGATAGGCAAAACCTTCATAACTTTACGTTTACAAGGAGTGCACAAGGGAATTAGTCTGGTTAGATAATTGTGTATCAGAGGGTATATTTTGTAATTAGGAGAAATGTTGGCCCCTTTAGTAAGGTTTGTCAGAAGAGTGTATTTAGTCAATAATGTAAGTAGTAGGTATTCTTGCCATTTGTTTTTAAACAAGAAATGTAATTTTTCATTGAATAAATGAAAAGAAACTAAT